CCCCCCCGGAACTCCCTATTTTCCACCACCCTACAACCAAAACAACCACCGGACACCCCCCACGATTCCCCGTCCAACCCCCATAACTACCCTCGCTATGACAACCATAAACCACACATACCACATAACCCCCACCAACAGCCACTCCACCACAACCCAGCCACCTCGCCTTGCCCACCTGAACCGTCTCCGTCGCATCCTCATCATCTTATCTATCTTATCCCCGATCCGTTTCACCCCTAACATCTGGCTCGTGACTAAATCCTTACTAACCTCATCAGCTTCATCAGCCGCTGCGCGCGTAGCCGGCGTAAGATTATCAACAAGACGGCGTTGCAGGACTGAGATGCGGGAGATGAGGAGAGGAGCGGTGGAATTGACGAATTCGTCAGCGTAGCCTTGCCATATCTGCGAGGAGAGCTGAACATCCTCCGATATGACTCTTGCCGCAAGACGATGCTGTTGGCTCTTCGGAACCGAGTCCAATGGCTCATGGGCAAATTCAGCAATGGTTGCATAGGAGGAGTCTGGGTCGGATGTGATGTCTTTGAGCTCAGCTGCGCGCCGCGAAATTTCCTTTGCTTTGATGCCTGAAGATAGCAAAAGAGCTCGTACACGAGCAATCTCGCGACGGCTTATAGGGCCACGGTCCTCGGGGTTCGAGCGGTCGGAGTATGACCATTGGCGGCCGAGGGAGGAGCGGCTGGTTTCGAGGTTTGACAGGCCTGTGATGGGGAGGGCGTCACGGCGTCTACCTGGGAAACCGAGGATAGAGTTGAGGTGGGCGTCTGCGCTTCTGATGCCGTTTGAGTAGTTGGAATGAAAGTCGGGAATAGAGGAGGTCGGGCGGTTTTTCGAGATTTTGACATTTTCAGGAGAGGATGTTGGAGAGGCATCTTGAACGTCGATTCTAGGTGTGCTATCGTTTAAGTGATGGGGACCGTACTTTCGTCGCTCCTCTCTGGTGAGAAGCTGCCGTGATAATGTATTGGGGGCAGCATGAAAAGATTCATCACTGCGCATCCGTGTTGGTCGGCCACGGTGCTCAAAGGGCGAGGTGAAAACTGGCAGAGGTGGGACACTTTTCATGTAGGAAGACTTCCTCTCCTCCGGAGCAGCTTCGTCAAGATCTTCGAGCGTGGCACCAACAGAACTATCTCGAGAATTAATGCGTTCTGGGTGGTTACGCACTTCCTCGATATCAGACTCGTCGGTCGAGAAGCCAGAACCAGCAGAAGGGTCCTTCTTCCACAACATGTCGCTGACTCTGCTGACAGGGTTACGGGCGTTCTTGAAGAGTCCGCGGAGACCTGAATCCTCGCCCTTGCCTTTGCTGCTTGCTTTGCTCGTAGACTTTTGGCCATCGCCTGGCGTCTTGGAAATACCCTTCTTGACTGGACTCATAGAGCGTCGACGGCCATCAGGGGTACCTGGATCATGCTCAATCGAGTCTAAAAGTGCCATACTATTTTCAAGAGGATGGCTAGACTCATGGTTCCTATCAATGAAAGGCCTGATCTTGGACTTCATTTTCGATAGGGGTTTTCGAGACGGAGATGTCGGTCGGCTTCTCCCAGACGACAAGTCCGATGCAGGTATGATCCACTCACCCTGTTGTCCTTTCGTGGAAGGAGAGTTTGGTGAAGTGGTGCTCAAGCCCTCCATAGACCTGCGACCATTCATACCAGGTACCTCGAGACTTGTACGGCCAGATGATCCTGCAGGTAGAGATTCTCGCCTCTTTGTGAACGAGTAGCCGGATCTACCATGAGCCCCTGAACCATTTGCTGACGTTCTGTCCATGTCCTGAGGAGCAGGCTTGGGTGTCACAGTACTGCGCCGTTCAATGTCGCGGGAGTCCCGTCGAGCCTCCTGGGCCTCTCTTGCAAGCATCTCCATCATCTGTTTCTCAAGGATGTCTTTACCTTGCTCAATATTTTCAGAACTATCGTTGTGGCGTCTCCTTCTCGGCGCATAGTCACTATCATCCGAATCGGAATCATCTGATCTACTGCGAGAGCCTCTGATGTTACGACCTTCCCTTGACGAACTGCTATGGACGTGATGCAAGCGTACAGCAGCACGAGCCTCCCGGAACTTCCTCCGCGCCTTCGAAGTAGACGGATCTGAAAATATTTCCGACTCAGGCTTCGCCGACTTGAAGTCAGGAAGTTTCGTGTCTAGTGTCAATTGCATACCGAGCCCTTCGGCTTTTTCTTTGAGACTGGCAATCTTCCTCAACTTCGAGTCTTCACCCATACGTGACATGGGCCTCTTCAGCTCTGCAGCCTGAGGGAATATTCTCCGCCCGTGGCGATCCTCGATGAGCTTCTTATTGTCGTCCTGTTCCAGCCAAAACACATCTGCAATCATATCGGCCGGACTCGTAATCCAGTCAATTCTGGGTCTCTTGATCTTCACAGGAGGGCCGTGGCTCTTGCCGAGGGATGAGTGAGGAGATCCAAAGGGCGATGCTGCATCCTCCGCGGCCTTTGAGAAAAGAGGCATCGAGAGGCAGACCCCCGCCTGGGCTTCATCTGACAAGGCATGGTGAGTTACCGCATCAACCCATGCAGACACTTTCTCAAGATCCCCGAATCCTTGAGCTTCTCCATCAATGGATCTCGAATTACGAGCTCGTACTTTCCGATTCCTGATGTATTGCAACGGGTTGTACGGTCTTCCCATCGATTGAGTGGGAGCAGCTCCGCGTAATGTGCCCAACACCGGCGATCCAGGAGCCGTACTAGAAGAACTCGCTGCCTTTTCCTCAGCCTGCGGTTTGAGCGGAGGCACAAACTGCAACAGCCGTCGATATTGCGCCATAAGCTCAATGGCAGCCTTCGCCTTCGCTGCTCTCGCCAAAGTCGACGCCGTGAAATTATACTCATACAGGCCCTCAGCATGACTACCATAAGAGCCTTGTAGCGGACTATTGATCCTCGACCCGGCCACCACTCTGGGCGAGGCAGTCATGATCCTCTCCCCTCTGTCTGGCTTCGGACTCACATTCCGCGACACTCGTCTTTGCTGCTGAAGATGATGCCTCAAACTTCCTCCAGTTTCCCCAGATCCAAGGATAGGCGGCAAAGGCGTGGATACAAATCTCCTCTGGGCATTCCTCCTACTCTCGCTCAGATTCAGCGCCAGATTGACTATCCGAGCCGAGTCTACATCGAGTCCCGTAGTCGAAGGTGTAGCAGGCGGTTGGTGGTCTTGAGTTCCTACGCCCTCACTATTCATATTCATATCTGCCGTGCCCACATCGGTGACATTCCCAGCCAGCGGGCTGCCTCCTACGTTTGTCCCGGCCACCGATCGCTTTATTGCATGCTTCTTCTCCATGATCTTCGGTCCATGGCCATGAATTTCTTTCTCCCTTTCTTTCTCCTTCGCAGACCGCCTTGTCCGTAACAGGCTCTCCATCGCGTTCACCTTCGCCTTCCCGTCCCCCACGCTCTCAAAAGGCTTTTCGAACGTCACATTGCTCAGCAAAAAACCACCACTTGTCCGTTCCTTCCTATGACTTCTATGGCTGCCCCTGCCATTTTTCACCGGCCTTTCAACGTCCACATTCCTAATGACGCCGCCATTCGGAGGCCCGTCGTGCGTCGAGCCGCTGTTGCGCTGGCTAGCTGCCCTGCTTGACTCGCCCGTCTCGTTGCTGCCGACGCTGAAGCGTGTCGCTGAGCTAAGTGTGCTAAGAGTTGTGAGCTGCTCGATGGGAGATGTGCTGGAGGCATCGAGGTCGGGAAGGCCATGTTGCGAGGTCATTGTGCTCAAGGGCTTGAGCGATGTGCATGAGCATTATTAGGTTTGTTGGCCTCTGGACATGTTTGTATTAGACATTGACAAGTTAAAAGAAGATAGTCATCGAAGTGAGAAAAGTCAACGCGAGTCTGTTTTCGCTGTCGTGAATGCCCACTTGATGCTGCATCTGTAGTTGAGAGACAGTTGTGGTTCAGTCTCGGCATACGCAGAGCGAATGCCAAGCTTTCGGCAAATCATGAGCTTCAGGTGTACCCAGTAAGATAAGTAAGGACTCAGGTACCTAAACATGCTCATCCCTACAGCTGCTTCGGCTATAACCCTCCGCGCTCAACTCTATTACAAATTGTCACGGATGAGTAAGAAACAATATATTCCTCGCAGTATAGCTAGGTACCAGAACGCCATACATATAGCCTTTTAACGCCACACTTTTCCCACATGTGACCCAAACAGCTCTAATTTCGCACAGGGCCCTTACCCGCTTTCTCAATTTTTCTTCTCTTCGCCCTAAGCTTCTCAGCCTCGGCGTCCTTCGCCTTATTACTATAGATCATCTTCTCCATGATCTTCCTCTTCTTCCTGCTCATCATCATCTTAGCTCTCTCCGTGCTCTCATCCTCTTCTTTGAGCTCCTTTGCTCTCTTCTTCTTCGCGTCGGCCTTTGCTTTGGCCTTGGGGTCGACTTCCTTCTCCTCGAGTTGGACACCGGTGAGTTCTGCTTCGAGCTCGCGCTGTCTTCGGAGAGCGGATGAGGTAGCTTCATCTTCTTCCTCCTCTTCGGCATCGGAGAAGCCGCCAAACGATCCGGCGTCTTCCTCATCATCTTCCTCTTCGTCGTCTTCTGAGCCTGCGATATCCATACCCATAGCAGTGGCATCGACGTCCTCATCGGCGAGTATCTTAGGATCCTTGACAGCCATACCATCATCGGACACTTCAGCCTCATCTTCACTGTCCATCTCCAGCTCCTCATCTTCACGCTCTTGCTCGTTGAGAGGAGCGCTAGGGTCGTATTGTCCCCGGACTTTCTTCACGAAGGGACTGAGATGGGGTGGGAGTTGTGCACCTGGTGCATACAGATCTGGTCTCTTGAGCTCCTCCTCGTTAACACTGTCCCAAATCCACTGCGGCTGAACATAGATACGTCCTGGTACTCTAGCACCGGGTCTGAGCTTCTGTGAAGTTTGATTGTCCTCGGCCTGCGCTTCTAACTCCGGGTCAGCCTGAATGATAGGGGGGCGATCAACAATTTGGTGGGTGATGGAAGGGTCAAGCTCGTTGTGTGTGAACGCGCCGTCACCGAGAACGGCATCCCAACCGATGCGCTTGCAGCCAAAGGCGCGGAGGATGAATTCGATCGGTTGTCGGGGAGTCTCTCGGGAGAGGAAGAATGTAAAGTTCGAGAAGAGGGTAGACGGGTCAGTCGAAGCGTATGAAGGCTGAAGCAGGATGTCTCCACCAGGAGCTGCTGGCTCGAATTTGTCGATGGTATCGGTTGCTTGCTCCTCCTCCTCTTCTTCTCCTACTGTCTGACTTTTGGCTTGCTTCTTGGCCTCCTCGGGTTGGTGCAATTGCAACATTAACTTGTCAATCTCCTTTTGAAGCTTCGGGTCTGGCTTGGCGGACTCTCCATTGGTAATTGGTTTTGGTTGCACAATAGCACCAATGCCATTGCCCTCGAGAGAAAATGCACCCAACTCAGCTCCGGAATCGTCCTTGGTTTTGTCAAACTTCGGAGGATAGACCAAGCCAATCTGAGTGTAAAGTTTGAAGTTGACAAAACCAAGCAAAGTCTGGTAGAACTCCACAAATGTGCCCATGATTCTGAAATCGACATCGTTCGTAACACGCTGATTGAACTTATACGGCACCAACCACAAGATGTCCTGACCCATAATCGTAGCCTGATAGTAAATTCCCTTGATGGACAGAAAGGACTTGCGCAAGCTGTTCGACAAAATCAAGTAATGTTGGAACTCTAAGCACAGTCGCTCGCATCGAGCGATCATCTTTGCAGGCACAGTCGGTGTAGAAGGCAAGTTGGCGAATAAGAACAGCATACTCAAGCAATCATCCAAGTCCCTCAACGCATCCACAAACGTTGGATAGCGTTCGCGGATAACATGGTCGAGCGTGTACTTTGTTTTCCCCGTCTTCTCCGGCCGATTGGCATTCTTCTCCAAACGCTGCGCATCATGCGCATCTCCACGTCCCAGCGCCTTGGATATCTTTTTCTCAAGCGCCTTTTGCTCTCTGAACTTTTGTAGCAGCGGCTCATGCAGCAGATATTGGATATCTTTGGTGTAGTAGAATGTCGTAGATGCGCTGGACGATTTCGAAGCCTTTTTCTTATTGCGTGGTTCGCGCGGGTAGATTCCTTTCCAGATGCAAAGTTTGCGGAAATCGGGGAGCGGAATTTGAAGCTTCCGCACGGCTTGGGTCCTGGTGATGAAGTTTTTGGCCTGTCCGGCGACGCCCTTCTTCTTAATTCTGGCCATTGCTGCGCGGGATGTTGTGATGGTTGGGGATGTCTAGGTGGCGGGGTTGGATGGAGAAAATGTCGGAGAGAATCTTAATTTGTTCAAAAAAATTCAAGATTCTGCCAGCCGAGATGGCTACCGCCTTCCTGATTAGGCGCGTGGAGGGAGCCAGCTGAACTGCGGACCACATGTTTAGGAATTTCAGATGTCAATAGAAAATTCGCCTCAACCTGTGAGCATCACTCTTTTGCTCACACATGATCCCAAGATGAATATCGACAGGAGCAAAGCTACGTTGTTCGCCACAGCGGCAGCAGTGCGGCTTCTCCTTTTCGTAGGCTTCCCAGGCCTGCCCGATCTGTTAACTGGGCGCGTTGAGATATCCACTCCAGTAACCAGCTTCAAGAGATGTAGCCATTCCTCTCTATATATGCCCGTACAAATCTGACTCAAAACAGTACAAGAAGGCCTGTTCCTCTATAACCACAATGTCTCCCCTTACGATGGCGGGGTCTACCACCAAGCACCGCTGCTTCTCCCCCTATTCTCTCTCCTCCCGAGCTCCATGTCGTATCCCATCTTCACCTACCTCTTGTACATACTGGTCGACCTCTCCAGCGCCAATGCGCTTATGAAAATTGCTGAGACCGGGGAGGCCGGGTCTTCGAAGTTGTACACATCTCCCAGGAAGGACAAACGATGGAGTAGCTATGCAATTGCGGCAGCGTATGTCCCAGTGGCTCTATCCATCAGCACGTTCTGATATTCTACAGATTTCTCTTCAATCCGTTCACAATAGCGACATGTATAGGCCGACCTACAAGCGTACTCACCACTTGTGCGATCCTCCATGCAATCTCGAAAGCCGTAGTTGGCGCCTCTTTCACATCCATGTTCGCCCTCTCCTTTGCAGCCTACCTCTCATTGTACCCCGTCCTCCTCTTCCCACCCTTGGCAATCCTTTGTTACGACCGCAAGAGAAACAAAAAGGCCGAGGAGTCTATGCATAGCTTCGTAATTGGCAATGCTCTAGCCGTTGGGGGCTCCCTTTTCGTCCTTCTCCAACTGTCCTTCCTAATCACTGGATCGTGGGAGTTTCTACACTCTACATACGGAGTTCAACTACTCCTACCAGACTTGACACCAAATGTTGGTCTCTGGTGGTACTTCTTCATCGAAATGTTCGACTCCTTCCGGAACTTCTTCCTCGGCGTCTTCTGGATCCACCTCTCGTCCTATGTAGCCGGTCTGACTATCCGGCTGCGCCGACAGCCCTTATTCGTATTGACAATCCTTATGGGTATCTTTGCGATTTTCAAGCCGTACCCATCGATCTCCGATACGTCACTGTTCCTGGCCCTGCTGCCGCTTTACAGACATATATTCCCGCTAATGAGATATACATTCTTGGCGTCCTCAACCGTTCTGTACGCGACACTGCTTGGGCCGGCATTCTACTACTTGTGGATTTATGCTGGTAGTGGGAACGCAAACTTTTTCTACGCAATCACATTGGTGTGGAGTTTAGGATTGAGTATTCTGGTCGCGGATACTCTATTCGCAGTCTTGCGCGATGAATGGGAAGTCGAGAGACCCGAGATGCGTGGAAGGGAAATAAGACAGATATGAGCGCTCGTAAGATCAATATCAAGCATTAATCATCTCTCACACTCAATTCATAATCACACATCTTTCCAATTTCATTATTTGATAACCAGCACCAAAGTTAATATACACTCCAAGACAGACCCGATTGTCTCCTCCTCTCCATTTCTTCCTCCAAAATTTGAGAAGTATTTCTAACAATCACCCTTATTCCCCGCTCCACCTCTTCCCTCAAGATCCGAGAACTAGTCCTAACGATCACTCTTGTCCTTTCTCCATCCCCTCCTGCATCTCGCTCCTATCCACAAAGGCCTCTCCATCCCTAATCGCCCTCTTACTAGATCCTCTCTCGTTACCAGCCTCTGGTGTCAAACACCCCACGCCATGCCATTTCCACCACCCCTTTACTTCTGTCGCCCTCGTTTTCGCACATCCGGTCACTTTCTTGTCTCTACCCCACTTCCTGGGGCGGTCTTGTTCTTTCCTGTCAGCTTTCACCTCCCTGTCCTTGGACTCCTTCCTCTCCTGCCTCTCTCTCTTCGCAAAACTCGACTTCCATTGCCACTCCCAAACTAGAACCTCAATATCCCCCTTTTTCCTCTTAATCCACGCACTGCATCTTTCCTTAAAACATTTTGCCCCTTTCCATTTCCCCTCTCCCACTTCCAGATACTTTGCCCGAAATTCTGAGCCCCTAAATTTATCATGATTATCTTCATCCTCATCCTGAGCATACTCCCCATCTTGAGCACACTCCTCATCATCAACAGCCTCATCCTGCTGCAGACTGTGCTCCTCCATCACCCGAGGGCGTGCGTGTCTGTGCATGTTCTCAGGGGGCAGGCACATGAAGGGGTGTAGTTCGCTCATCTCCAGGGGCGTCTTGCGAGGGGGGCCTTTTGCTAATTCGGGGCGTAGGGGGCTGGGGTGGGTGAGTTGTCTCTGGAGGTATAGTCGGGAAGGTTGAAAGCCATGAGGTCCTGAGGATAGATGGTAAAATAGTGATGAAATGACGGGCAGGGCGATGGATGAGGGATGGAGGATGGGTAGGGTAGAGTTAGTGCTTATGGATATAGTGCTGTTGAAGTGGTGATGCAATCCAAAGTCTACCGGAGTTTAGATTTACGTGTGGATGCTAGGTAGGTAGGATGAAAAAGGCTCGCTTGGAGGCGTCTATTGTTGGGTAGTATTGGTTACTGTTTATTGTCTGGTAGCGAGCATATGGGAGCTTGGTCTAGGCCAGCGGCGCTACCCATATAGCTGCAAGATTTTGTAGTGTTTCCGTCATTTTTTGAGTAGATATATGGTAATAGTATATTTCAACTTTTCAACTTTTGGCTCTACTTCATACGGAAGTATTAATTTAAGTACATGTCTACATCATGGATTTATGGCCACAACCGTCGAGGGGTTGGACCTGGTTCTTCAATGACCTAGGCACGTACATCTTGCATAATCGTCGGTTACCTTGAATTTGATTCGAAGAAAAAATGCCGCAAACTTTCATCACAACACTTGTTAAATGACAACTACCAATGTGAACATTTATGGGGGAAAAAAAGAAGTGCTAAGAAAATTTTGCCACAAAAATTTTCATTGCAAAGAAAAATCTATTTGTCGCAAGTCAAAACACCATAATGTAATGATAACGGCCAAAAATTGTCCCAAATAAATAAATTTCACTTGTCCGCCTCATGTGTCAACAACCACAACTCCAATTACAAAAAATGTACCATGGCCCAACAAGAAACAATCGAATATAATACAATGAAAAGGAAATAATTATTAAAGAAAGCTGGTAGTATTAAACTTTTATTTTTGATAGATCATAATAAAAGTCCGAATTTCGCATTCCTCGCTTATTCTAGCATCTATCTACACGGCACTTTCTGATATACACGCATAAGAAAACAGCATCAAAATCAGTAATTATCGTAACCTGTCGTATCACATCAACGTCATCGTCAGACTTAAAATCGCTACTAATGAAATTGCTGCCGACCAGGGGTGGTAATAGATGTATCGATTACTCATACTTGCGCGATTTTAATGAGGTTGAGAATTTAGACACGCCAAGTCTAGCCAGCGCACCGACTGGTAACATCGAAAAGTACGATTAAAGTGTTAGGCACCATTAGTTGAATGGCTTTACCACTGGGCCAAACGGGCCAAAAAGACAGACTAACTGAGGACGCTCCGGCGCAAACCAGTCTAGTATATATAGAGCGCTAGTCAGCTCGCCTGACTAAGCCTTCTACTCGCGACAAAAAGTTACCATTTTTACTACTCTAACAGAGCACAATAACGGAATGGCAATGTGTAACTATATTTTATATCGGATGGTTATGATTAAGCTCGGGATGGTGGGTATCTCCATACAGAAATATGACTACGATATGATCGGTGGTTGATTTTACATCGATCTTTGAGGGCAAAATTAGGTGTTCCGCCTTTGGTGGTTCGCCAGGTCGGGATTTTTCCACAAATTCAATTCAAGGTCCCCAAAAGTTGCGACGTCAAGGCCCACTATTAATGGTCGAAGACTGAAGGACGTAAGGAGGCCCACCTAAGCGAGCCGACGATTAACCAACGTTTAGGTACGTACTACGTACGTACATCTTGTACGTATAGTGTGCATAGAGCTGTCTAGAATTGTCTGCGTTGTTTCGATACGATTACGTATTTCTGTGGAGCATGTCACCCTAATGTAGATCAACTGCCAATCAATTATCTCTATACAAACTTCTTGCTGATTTATCTGCGGCCGCCTTCGCAGTCTGGAGAAGCTCTAAAAAATTCGCTTATTCGCTTGTACCTTTTGTCAATTTCCGCAGCCTCGTTTCCCGCTTGGCGGAGAATAATTCAGCCTCGCCAACCACCGTAAACTCGACGACGAGCGACACTCAATACTTCATGTCAGAACCCAGCAACGAGAGTTCCGCAGATGACGTGGACGTAGAAGATGCAGAGCAGGATCAGAGACCGAACAGATGGCAAGGCCCGCCGTCGACGTGGACGTCGCTCACGGAAGCCGAGAGAGAACTGGCAGCGAGTCTGGACGCGCTAAGGAATGGGGAACTGGGTGTGCATTTATATAATGCTTTCGCGCTGAAACGGCGGGCCTCGGAACTAGACGGGAAAGAAAGTGGCGGTGCGGATGCAGGAGATCGAACCTGGAGGCCCCCGAACTACTGGACTGCGTGGCCGCTGCCCCCGGGTGATGTACCGAGGAATGGGGAAATAATTGGGCCGCAGGAGAAGGATGAAGAATTCACGTATAGGCGAGGAGTTGATGCGGCGCCGAGTCGGGAGATGGAGGATGTTCTGGTGGGCTTGCGCCTGAGATTTGCGAAGGAGAGGTTTGAGGGGAGGAAATCTGATGGAGAGGATGGAGTGTTTCATGACAAGGGAAAAGCGAGACGCAGGGTTGAGGAGCAGGATGAGACGAATCTTACGGGGAGTGATGATGTGCAGTCTTCTCAAGATGAGGAAGCAACCGAGGAACCTGTTGTCAAAAAGGCATCAAGCCCCCCACCGAAGAAGAATCGGCTGAAGCCTGTGGTATCAGCGGACGACGAGCGCTCTCGAGGACTTCTACTGCCTTCAGTCAGACACACGCTTGCTAAGCTTGATGGATTGTTGATGGCATTACATCACGCGCGGAAAACATGCCATCGGTACTCGCACTCCGACGCTGGCACCACGGACGACGAATCCATACTCGGCAGCGCCGTCTCTGAAGCTCATTCGGCGTCTAAGAGACCGCGTGGCCGGCCTAGGAGATTCAAAAGCCTGCCCAACCGATCGATGGCCGGTTCCATCTCTGTCACCGAGCCCGAGAAAACCGATGCTGAAGATTTACTCAGAAAGAAAACGAAAGGACCAGGTCGTCCTATCAAGGTTTATGAGAGACTAGAAGGGGAGTCCCAGCAGGAGTATCTCGTAAGAGTCGCCAGGATCCAGAAGAAGCCTCTCCCAGTATTCGCGCCGCCCACAGCATCTAAACGGGTGAAGTCTCCGTCTCCTACTAGACGACGGTCTCCAATGAAAAGGGCAACTTCTAAGGAGTTGAGGGCTTCGAGACAGAAAAAATTGGGCCTGAGGGATTGGAGCGAGGTGATTGGTATGGCTGCACTTGTTGGGTTTCCAGAAGACGTGGTGGAGAGGGCTGCGAAGCGATGTGCGAATCTGTTTGGGGAGGGTATGAGTGTTAGACGGCTGGTTGAGGTGCCGTTCTCTGAAGACAAAGAAGGGGATGATGTCCTTGCGCAATACCTGCCCGAGATGATACCTCCCTTCCTCGAAGATGAAGCCGAGCTGTCTTCCTCTAGCCATCCAGAGCTCGACTCGGACGAAGAGGATCAAGTTGTTGCAAATGCTTCGACGAGTGGGAAGAAACTGACGTTTTGCCCTGTCCACGATTGTCCCCGGAGACGGAAGGGGTTTGTCGATGTTGCGGCGTTGAAGAGACATCTTGAGCTTGTGCATGGGATTCAGAAGGAGGAAATTGAAGAGTGGATCTTGCCGAGTGATGAGGAGATGGAGGGGGCGGTTCATGTTGATGGGTTCTTGAGGCCACTGAAGAGCTTTGTAGGCTCAAGGGGGCGGTATAGAAGGGATAGGAGAAGGGGACAAGAAGTAGATGCCAATAGTGGGAGTGAGAGTGAGAGTGAGAGCGAGGGCGAAGGCGAAGGCGAGAGCAAGGGTGAGGATGAGGATGAGAGTGCGAGGAGTGAGCACGAGGAAGAGGAGAACAGGGTTCACGGTGGTGAACGTACAAGTAGGGAATAGTAGCAGCCCTTCCTTATTGCAGCGCACTCAGGATTGCGGTGCATGCTACTCCTATCACTCACTCACCAGTACATCGGTCTCCAAAACCATTCCAACCCAACCACGAAAGTAATTCTGCTTCAAACTCTACACTTTAAACCCCCATCCCACAATATCCACTCCTCCACACTTCGTCGCCCTGGATCCCCTACCCTGCTCTAGACGAAGCAGCTCAACGTTATCAATACCTATGTAACGCGCCGGTCGTGGCAATCCTCCCCTCCCTCGCGTCTCGCATGGGAGTATGCGAGTACCGTACGCGAGCGAGTGACCACATACTTACCTACCTACCTACCTACTTATCCACTAGTATACGCATTCCGACACGCAAGACCGTGCGGTTAGGTACTCTTCTCTCCTACCTTACTCTCCTCTCCGGACTCCAGCAGCGCTGTCTCAAACCCAATCCCAATCCCAATCCCAATCTCAATCCCAATCCCAATCTCAATCTCCGCGAATACCGGTACCTCTCCGTAAAACGAGCGACTCAAGCCTTCGATCGAGACTTATATACGCGTACCTACCGTAAATACCAACACCAACAAACACGGACATCCCTGGCCCCCCCTGTCTCTCTTTTTTTATCCTTTTTTTTTTTCTTTTTTTTTCCTGGGCGTCTGCGAGGTGCAATCCTTCCTCGTGCCCTTGGCCTTGATCTACCGGTACTGGCACGGGACCAGCGGTTATTTTTTGAAGTTGGTGATGTTGGGTTTGCTGGGTAAGCATACCGGTATACGTACATATATACATATATATCAATACATATAGGTATTCATATATATACGCATGTGCATGTGTATCTCGTGCTAGGTATCTGTTCACGATATATATACATATATATATACGTACGTATGTACATATATACACATATACACACACACACATATATATATATATACACATACATATAAATAAACATCAAACCTCCTCTCCCCCAGCCCAGAGATCCAGCCAGCCTTCGTCAAATACACAAGTACGTACGCACGCATATACGCACGCACAGGATAGGATCCGACATGACTATTTCCTATTCCCAAAGCCACCACCCACCACCCACCACCCACCACCGCTGCTTCCCCGAACCCATTTTATTCATTCATTTCTTCATTACATTACAATAAGTACAGTAACAGCCAATCTTTCAGGACCGTGATTTTTTTTTTCCCCTTCGTCTTCAGAGGCTATTGATTGATTTCGCATATATACATATATATATATACATATATATATGTAAATTTATATCCAAAGTTCCGTAATCGCGACGACGCTACAAGGCGAGAGAGAGGGGTTTGGGCTTGGGCTTGGGCTTGGGCTTAGACGGTAGCGCGCTCGCCTTTGTCTTCTTTGCGCTGCCGGGCCTGGACGGACCAGGGGAAGTGGGCGACGGGGATGACGAAGAAGGAGTTGCTGTAGGGGGAGGGAGGGATCAGTGCGAGATCGGATGGAGTTGATGGGGGCGCAGGAGGGGTAGGTTTTTTTTTTTTTTTTTAGTTTTTGTTTTTTAGGGAAGGGGGAGGGGGGG